ACAACTCAAGGGTTAGATATTTCAGGGAATGAAATTTAGATGACATGCAATCATCACCAAACAACGAGGCATTGACTTTAACGTTGCATAGAATCAGACATGTCAGACTGCAGAGTGTCATAAAATGTGGATACCAAACATATTCCTTTAAAATTGGAAATTCCGGTCAGAGACAATTTTTCAATCAAAGGACAGGACAACAATATTTCTGAGACAGCACAAGGGTTGATATTCACATCCTTCAAGTTAAGGTATTCGAGCTTCGAACATCTTACCTTTTCATCCAGAACCAGGTCGTTAATCGTGTACCCCTCCACAGATAAACCGACGAGGTTCTCAGCTCCCAACACCTCACGCGGCAAAAAGGGTTTCCCTCCACGGGAACCATTGAGCTTTAAACCGAGATGTTTGGCACCCAATCTCAGTGCTGTCAGAACCAATTCATAGGAAGGAGTAAATGCTTCATACGAATTGGTTCTAATAGAATCAATTTAATTATACTAAGAATTAATTTAATTAATTTAGTCTTTCCTACGAATTGGTTCTGATAGCACTGGGATTGGGTGCCAAACATCTCGATTTGAAGCTCAACGGTTCCCGTGGAGTGAAACCCTTTTTGCCGCGTGAGGTGTTAGAAGCTGAGAACCTCGTCGGCTTATCTGTGGAGGGGTACACGATTAACTACGTGGTTCTGGATGAAAAGGTAAGATGTTCGAAGCTCGAATACCTTAGCTTGAAAGATGTGAATATCAACCCTCGTGCTGACTCAGAAATATTGTCGTGAAAAATTGTCTATGACCGAAGTTTTCAATTTTAGAGGAAGATGTTTGGAATCCACATTTTATGGTACTCTGATATGCAGTCATAAGATGACATATCTGGTTCTATGCAATGTGAAAGTCGATGCCTCGTTGTTTGGTGATGATTGTCTGTCATCTAAATTTCCTCCCCTGAAAGATCTAACCCTTGAGTTGTTTTACCTTTTTAATTACGATGAAGCTGAAAAGAAATTAAGATTTTATATCCACTCACTTGAGCGTTTACAATATGTTTCACGCGATGCTCGCCATGTGCCGCTTGAGTTTGATGTTCCATGTATTCGTAAATTTACATTCAACAATGAATGTTCTGAAGTTCCTCATGTGGTTATTGATAAATTTCAACTGAATGGGAGTCTTATGTAACCATGAGCCATTTTCATCTCGGTACTTCGATGTTTCTTGGGCTGAGTAAGTTCTTCACACAGTTGAGCCAATCCAAACTTTATCTCACTCTCAAAGGCGATCGTGTGGACTGGGCTGACTACGAGTTCGAGTAGTTACAAGGTTTACCCCATACACTCCAACTCGAGATTTTAACAATAAAGACCGAACATCTAACGCCTTCAACCTGTAAAGCTCTTTTTGATGGCTTGTTTCGGTTAGGCAGCCCAAAGTGCATAACTCAACATCTACCTTCTGTGGGGAGATTTGGCAATGAGCGATGTGTAACCTATGATTTCCTTTGCATGATACTCGGGCGATTAACGAAGGTGCACTTTTCGTACCCATTTCAGTCTTAGTATGGTCTGCATGGTCTCGAGGTGGCTTACGTGCAGAATCCTACTGACGAGGCTGTTGGTGTGTGGAGACGTCTGACAGTGGATTTGTGCTCGGATAGTCCTATTTTTGCAAGCCAGGAGAATCATGTGAAGAAAGTTCGATACTTATTGAAATGGAGGGAGGCTTGGCTTAATGTATGTAAGCATGTTATTGATTGCTTTGTTGCTTTTCGTGTTTTTCTTCTCTCTAGAGCCATTAATCATCGAGTTAATCAGATCAATCGCTGGTAGCAGTAATAGTATGGTTGCTAATTACTTCATTACTCTTGCTTATTGATTTCTTTCCATGTTTTCTTAAGTTTGATTTATTATGGGTAGTAAATTACTTTATATATATATATATATATATATATATATATAAAGGTTTGGCACTTACCTGAAATAGCAACTAAAATCCCGCCCAAAAATTTAGAACTTACTAATCTTGGTAATTTTTTCAAAATTTTTGAAAAATACCGCCATTAAATCATTAATATAATATTTTAAAATACAGAATAAAATTTCAAGATTTGTTGACTAAATATACTTTGTTACCTGCCAAATGCTCTTGAATAAAATTCGGTAACCTTTTAGGCTAGCACGAATAAATTGCATAAAATCTCTTGATTTGTTTAGGAAGATTTCCTATTCTCTTAAAAATATATTTTGATTTGTCAACTTGACATCCCATCATGAATTTTTCAATACATGGTTTTCGGCATCCCAACTAACTTTATATTTTTACATAAATATATAAACGAAAATACTATTATTTTAAAATTTATATTTTAAATAATTATAAATATCTTTAGTAAAATTACTTTAATTTATTTTTCTAAATAATTTATTTTTATTGTTATTCTCATATTTTGATTAAAATTAAGTTAAAATTTATTTTTTAAACATTTAAAATAAATTTCATTAAGCTTTTGATAAATATAAATTATGAAATAATTATCTTATTAGATAATTTTTTTAAGATATTTTATATTTTTTATTATAAGTGCTTAAAAATATTTTTTCTTAAAAAAGTATTGTAGTTTACATAATTATGTCAAAATACAAAGTGATCTAGAGTCTTAAATTGAAAAGTAAAATGTAAAAGTATGTCTTATATTGAGAATAACTTAAAAGTGAAACCCTCAATCGAAAAAGTAAAAAATGTAGACCCTATTATGACACAATATCCAAAAGTCAGGTCATACAATGGTATTTCTCCTATAAATATTTACATCTAAGATACCTTAATTAATCAAATTTATTTAACAATTTATAAAGTATTTCAAATAACCATTTATAATAAATTCATTTTTAAGATACCTTAATTAACTCAAGTCATGTTAATTGGCTGATTTACCCAAATATGGAAATTTCGTTTGCAATAGCAATTATGTGTCTTGGTAAAAAAAATTCAACAAAATTGTAAAATTTATTGTTTAATAAGTGTTCTGTATTTTTCATGTAACTCTTTTGTGAAATACATTTTCAATATACTTACTTACGCAAATTGTGTAAATGCGATTGATTTATTCAATCTGCAAATAATTACTACAATTATGAAAATATTAACAACAGTAATTAATTTTGCAATTTGCAAAAAAGCTGCTCTAAAAAAATTGTGCTAATGGTAATTTTTATTTATATATTATTTAATAAATGTTATTCATTTTTGTCTGTATTTAATTGCTCAAATGTAGATAATTAATGAAGTAATTAGACAATAAAATTTTCAATTTTGAAGATACCCTAATTACACGAATCGTGTAAGTTCGGTTGATTTATTCTAATATAATTTCTTATAAATTCTAAAATAATTGCGTTAATGGCAGTTTCTATTTAATTATTTATTTAATAACTATTTTTTGGTCTTTTTTTATTTTTTGTCTATAATAAACACGAGTCTTGATTTTGTTTTGTACGTTGGACAATTAATTTTGTGGTTAAATTGAATATCATTTTTTGTATTTTATCGATAATGTATGAAATCGAATTATTTGGCATACCATATATTGATCCAATATAACCACATCATGATAATAAATGGTATCGCAATATTTTTTTTTCCGTATTGCTAAGCATTTTACTCGAAAGAAAGAAAAATCTGGAGAATGTTATGGTCGAATCTTCTTTGTTGTGCGTGGAACATAGCAAATTATTTGGTGTATGTGCGCGTGTGTTGGGGGGTGTATAAAGTTTTTTTTTTTTTTTTACTTAAATCACATTATAGTCAAATCAAATTTCTGAATTAAAATTTTAAAATGACATCTATTGTTGAATAAATATAATGAAACTAATAAGTTACTTGCACCGTACGGGTCGTGTATTAATTTTAAATAGACATGTTTTATGTACTTTTGCACAATTTAAATTTCATATAACATTTCAACAAATTAATATAAGTAAATTGTATTACATATTTATTTCATATATTTCTATTTATAAATATTATTTAATGAATATTTGTAATTTATAAATATGTCTTTCGAGTAATTTAATATAGGTAATTTAAGTTTATCACATACATATTGAAGAAAACTTGGGGAAAAATACCTTAATGTCTTCCGAGTTAACGTATATCTGATTGACACGAAGATGGAGACTGGCGGCGAATATAGCTCGGACAATCCAATCAGTTTTCGAGCCGAATGCTGCCTGTTCATATGGAGTGGTAGTCGTGACGATGATGGAATCACCATGCACATTAGCAATTCGGGTAGTGGCCGCTGTGAGCTGACTGGCCGTCCTTTGCCTGTAAGAATAATCGATAGTGGCATATTAACTGGGTCCAGTCAATTAAATTAAAATATATATATATATATATACATAAAATATAAAATAAAAAAAATGTCATAGAAATAGGGAAATGACCTGTTTCTCAATTTCAACAATCTGTTGTGAAGGCAGACTGATCTCAGCTTCATGAATTTCTGAGTGGGTCAATGCCGACGTGTTTACATTGTTCTTCTTGGCATAGTCAGAAAGTATCAGATCTCTGAGGGCAACTTCAACCTGCAGGTCATAAAAAGACAGGGAATATTAGAAATGCAACCCTCATTACCATAGAACAGGAGATGATATGCAATTAGGTACAGCTACATATACAACTCTACTGATGAAGCATGAATAGGAAAAGGACCCATTTATCTTTTGAAGTAACAGATGACCCCTCGACTTACTATGCTTTTTTTTAACAATGGAACATAGCGAAAGTCTTGTCAGGCATTAGCAACAATTTTGCCTTCTCATTGTTGACACGAAGACCATCTGCAGCTCTGTGGCTCTGTGGCCTTCAGGATCAGATAGCCAAATTTCTGAATCTTCAAGCAGGCCTGGAAAGGCAGTTGAAGCTCACTTCCTTTGATTACGATATTTGGGAAATCAAGCAAGTGCACTTCAAGAGGATCCAACATTCCTTTCCGTGTCACAATAATTTGTTCCGGGTGCTCTTCAGCAGGCAAAGGCCGGATGAGAGCAACAACTTCTTCAACAAGCACAACAGAGGAAAGTGATAAGTTCTATGTCCAAACTGCATTATAATTGTTGGTACCAAAAATAATTTGTAACTGTACTTGTAGTAAAGAAGAAAATTTTAGTAAAGAAGCTAATGAAGAGAAGAAGCTTGAACTGTTTTCTTATTCAAAATATGTCACCTACACATTCAATCCGAGCACACATCCCCCTATATATTAATTCAGAACGTGCTGAGCCTAAGTGGCAGGCTCGCATGTTTCGGGATCCTATGTGTCAAAATAACATGTTTCGGTATTGGGCTTAGGTAGATTTTAATTTACTTTCAATCCAAAAATAACTAGGTCCGGACTAACCATAAATATGTTGATTATTTATGGTTATGTTACATGTATTAATTTCATTTTAATATAACTTCTTATTATAACTATTGAAATGTAAATGCGTTTTAATAGTTTATAACTTTTGTATTTTTTATCAGTTTTACATATATAATATATTGAATTAATCATCTCTTGATGAACTACGATTTAACATCTATATTGTATATGTTTAAAAAAAGATAAATTATATGCATCTTTCTAATAATTAAAAATAATTTATTTTAATATTAATTAGAAAAATAAATTATTTAGCAATTAGTATATTTATATCTCAAGTAGTTATATGATATAAGTTATAAAATTTACTATAATATAATACATGTAAGTCACACAAATAACAACTATCATTCTAAAATATATAATAATATACTTTTTTGTATAAAAGTAAATAAAATTTTAAAATTTTTCTCATTAATTTTTAAATTTAAGAATAATTTTTTTACAAACATCCGTGTAATACACGGGATTTGTACTAGTATATATATGAAGTAAAAAAAATCTCTAGAGTCCAATTATTACAATTGCCAACTAATGACAACCAACTTCCAACTACAACAACAACAACAACATACTCAGTATATTCCCAACTGGTTGGGGTCTAGGGGGTCAGTTGTACGCAGACCTTACAAGGAGGCTGTTTCCGTAGCGACCCAAGGTGCATTGCGTTGTTTGATATATTTTTTTCTAGAAACTTCACTAATAGAAAAAGCACTAGAATTTAATTGAGCCATTTGATCTAGTCCTTAGCACTATGTCAGGAGAATTGTCAACAATGACTCTTCTAGCTCCATTTGCAATGGACAACCAACTTCCAACTAATTAACAATAAATTATTTCATTAATTATTTTAACAACAACCAACTATGCATTAATTATTTTAACACTAGCCCTTAATGCTTATTTGGTTAATTCCAAGTTTTTCGCGTACAGCCTCGAATCTTGGTCGTGGTAAAGCTTTTGTAAAAAAATGTGCAAGTTGATCTTCAGTGACGACATACGTGAACTCTATCTGCTTGTAATTAGTTGCTTCACGTAGAAAGTGATATTTGATAGCAATGTGTTTGGTTGTGTTGTGATGTACTGGATTTTTCGCCATTGCTATCACAGACTTGTTTTCGCAGTATATCTCTGTTGGACTTTCTTGGTGTTCACCCATGTATCCAAGAATATGCCTTATCTAAATAGCTTAACCTGTTGTTAGTGCTGCTGCAACGTACTCTGCCTAGGATTGCGCCACACAGTCTTGCTTTTTAAATGACGACGAGAATATGCCTGAGCCAAGTGAAAATGTGTAGCCTGAGGTGCATTTCATGTCATCAGTTGATCCAGCCCAGTCACTATCGGTGTAACCGACCAGTCTTGAGTCTTTGTTATATTCGTACTGGATTCTGTAGTCTTTAGTACACTGCAAATATCGTAGTATTCTCTTCGCTAGTGAACTTGGCTCGGACTTTGCATGGACCTTGACAGTAGACTTGTTGTGTACATGATATCTGGTCTTGTGGCTGTTAGATATAATAAGCTTCCAATCAGACTTCGGTATGTGGATTTGTCTGCATTTGGTGTACCATCTTCTTTGCTGAATTTTTCGTTCGCTACCATGGGAGTAGCCACAGGTTTACAGCCGTCCATTTTAAACCTTTTTAGTAGATTACCTGTGTATTTCCTCTGTGAGATAAATATCCCATTTTCTTCTTGGTTTACCTAAATGCCAAGAAAATAGCTCATTTGCCCAAGGTCTGCCATCTCAAAAGTCTTCATCATATCTTCTTTGAATTCCTTAATAATCCCCTCATTGTTCCATGTATAAATAAGATCATCTACATAAAAAGAGACAATGAGTTTGTTGTCGTAACCTTGAGTCTTGATGTAGAGTGTTGGCTCAATATGACTGGTGAAGTATTCATCAATTCGGCAGTACCAGGCTCGTGGGGCTTGTTTCAATCCGTAAAGCGCCTTGTTTAGTTTTAGGACTTTGTTTTCTTGTCCTTCTGCCACGAACCCTTGAGGTTGTTCGATGTAGATCTCCTCTTCCAGGTAGCCATTGAGAAATGCAGACTTGACATCAAGTTGATAGATTCTCCATTTCTTCTGAGATGCAAGTGCAATTAGAGCTCTTATGGTGTCTAGCCGAGCAACAGGAGCAAAGGTATCGTTGTAGCCGATCCCAGGCAGTTGTGAATATCCTTTAGCAACCAATCGTGCTTTATGTTTTTGGATTGAGCCATCTGGGTTAAGCTTCGGCTTGTAGACCCACTTAACTCAAATGACTTCCTTGTTGTTTGGTGGATCGACCAACTCCCAAATTTTATTCTTCTCGATCATCCTGATTTCTTCCTCCATAGCTTTTACCATTCTTTTTTCCTTACTGCTGCTTCAAAGCTTTCAGGTTCTATCGTGGCAAAATTGCATGTCTCGTAGATCTCCCTGAGTGTTCGTACTTTTCTCGGTGGTGTCTCTGGGGACGACTGTTCGTCATTTCATGGTGTTGTTGTCCTCGAACTTGAAGATTGTGGAGCTAGAGGTAATTGTATACCTTCTGCTTCATCTTCATGTTCTTCTGGTATGGTATTCTGCCTCCGCCGTGTAGGTACCATGATATTTTGGTATTTCACTTTTTCTTCCTTCCAGTTCCCCGCAGCATTTTCATCGAACTCGACATCTCGACTGATAATTAGTTTACGTCTTGGGGATGTAAATTATGTATCCTTTAGATTGAGGGGCATATGCCTTTTACAGATTTCTCCTCAAGTTTGTGTCTCTTTTCCTTTGGGATGTGCACGTAGCAGATACTCCCAAAGACTCGTAGATGTTGGACTGATGGCTTTCGTCCACTCCAAGCTTCTATTGGAGTTTTATTTTGAACAACTTTAGTAGGGCACATGTTGAGTAGATAGACGACAGTGTATACAGCTTCTGCCAAAATTCTTTTGGCATGTTCTTCTCTGCAAGCATTGTCCTGGCCATCTCTAATACGGTTCTGTTTTTCCTTTCTGACACTCCGTTTTGCTCTAGAGCATAGCCGACAGTTAACTAATGGTTGACTCCTTCATCCTCGCAGAATTTGTTGAACTCCTTGAATGTATATTTTGTTCCTCGATCACTCCAAAGTACTTTAATTCTTCTTCCACTTTGATTTTCGAAAGGCTTTTGAATTTCATGAAAATAGAGAAGACTTCGGATCTTTCTTTCATGAAGTACACCCAAGTCATTCTTGTATAGTCATCAATAAATATTGATCTTCTTCGGCTTTTAGTGCTGCTTCTATGAATTTCCAACAGAGCGGAAAATTTCTCCATTGTTGCATTTTTTCTACAGCTATGGGAGTATTTTTATTGTCATAAATGGTGCAAGAGTTATTTTGGAATAGTAGCGAATATCCTCTTTCCACCATTTGTCCCACACTGAGTAAATTAGTATCAAATTTTGGTACTAGCAGCACATCTTCAACAAGACGAGTACCTTTTTTAGTTTTGACCTCAATTGAGTTTTTGCCTTCAACTTCTACTAAAAATTCCATTGCCCAACCGAACTTGTGATTTTACTGATCTATCAATATTTTTAAAATTTCTTCTCATCTTCGGTCATATGGTTACTGCAGCCGCTATCTAGGAACCAAATATCATTTTTCTCTTCTGATGTTGCATGTGTTGCACAGAATAACAAATTTTCTCCTCTTTCATTTTCTTCAGAGAAATTTGTTGATATATTTTGGTACGGCAATTTTTCTCCATATGACCGAATTTACCACAATTTTTACATTGAGGTTTATCTAGGTACCAACAATCCTTCTCAAGATGGTTGGTCTTTTTGCAAACTCCACAAGATGGATATTTTTCTTTTTGTTGATTATTATTATTATTATTATTTCCACCTTGATTTTTATTTTTGTTATTTTCTCCAAATCTTCTTCCCCCAATTTTAGAATTCTAAGACCGTAAATTTGATTTTGACTGAAATGCATTTTCGACTGTATCATTTTCACAGATACTCAGTCTTTTTTTATAGGCTTTAAGTGAACCTATTAATTTTGTCAATGACAGATGATCCAAATCTTTAGTTTCTTCCGTCGTGGTGACGATAGGATCATATTTGACTGGTAGAGTAATTAAAAATTTTTCTACCACCCTTTTGTCAGTGATATTTTCTCCATATGCTTTTAATTGAGTTACTACTTCTCTTAATTGAGAATAGTAATCTTTTACGGTCTCAGATTCTTTCATCTTCATATTTTCCAAATCTCTTCTTAGATTTTGCAATTTCAGATGACGTACCTTGTCACTACCCTGATATTCTTCCTTGAGAGTATCTCACGCCTCCTTTGATGTCTGTGCTCCACTAATTCTTGGAAACAGGGACTCCGTCATGGCCATTTGTAGTGTGAAAAGAGTCAAACTGTCTTTTTCCTTCTCCCGGTCGAATTTTTCTTCGTCCGCCGTAGACAAAGTGGATGTCATCGAGGATAATATACCCGTTCTCGACAATATTCCATAGGCCTTGAGACGTAAAGTATGTTCTTATTTTAGTGGCCCAATAATTATAATTTTCGCCGAAAAAAATGGGAATTGGTATTTGATGGGCGTTTTGGGAAGTGGCCATTTTAAAAATTTTAGTAGGCTATATGAAAGTAGGAGAATATGTGAAAGTAGGGTATTTGAACAAGATATGTAAAAATAAAAGGATATTGAAAAATAATCTCCCGGCTAGTGATCCAATCGGACTCTGATACCACTGTTGGTATCAAAAATAATTTGTAATTGTAATTGGATAAAATTGTAGTAAAGGAGAAAATTTTAGTAAAGAAGCTAATGAAGAGAAGATGCTTGAAATGTTTTCTTATCCAAATTTGACCTACACATTCAATCCGAGCACACACACACACACACATATAAATATATATATGTATATATATATATATATATATATGAAGTAAAAGAAATCTCTAGAGTCCAACTATTATAATTGCCAACCAATGACAACCAACTTCCAACTAATTAATAATAAACTAATCATTAATTATTTTAACAACCAACTAAGCATTAATTATTTTAACAATAATGAAAATGGAAACCAAGTAAGCAGCACTCATAAAACGAACCTTCAAAAATAGTAGCCCAGTTCTCGGGTTAAATATGAAAATGGCACCGTTGATGGGTTTTGTCGTAAGATTTCCCTCAGATATCTTGTGTATCGTGACATGATACACATTCGTGTCATCCACAACCAGATTATCCGATTCCTGAATATTTCCCCATAATTTTGAGATGACAAGTTGGGTTCTGTAGGTTCCGAAGAATACAATTGTAGCCCTTTTCTAATGCGCTCTCTTAAAACATACAGGGCTGGATTAGAATGCATGCACAAAAATGCATATATAATTAGCCAAGTCTATTTCCATCATAAATAATATCTCATTGTTTAGAACTGCAATAAAGATGACAAGTTAAACCGTAACTTGGAATATATAAAATATAAATGTGTATAACCTTCATGATCTTGTTCAAGGCCTTAGAAAGCAAAGGCTTCAACCCACTGAACCAATTTCTATACGCAGAATACAGATTATAAGCTAAATCAATTGCAATTAGGATCCCTGCAAATAACATAATACGAGTTAAAACTTTAATATGTACAACAATTATCATAATAGATGACATAAAGTCATAAACTAAAACCATACCCGTTGGCGATGGATAGGTCATCATATTGTCTGCAGTATAGTCTATAAACCTTGCCCAGGTGTACTGCTCAATACTATGGGAATCATAATCACCCCACTTAAGCTTCACATCTATCCAGAACTTATTACTACCATCTTCTTCGTTAAACACATCTTATGACTTGGCAACAAAACTAGGCTTTGACATGGGCCAGCCTTGTCTAGCAAAGAGTGTGATATCAGCACATGAGCTGTTCAGTCTGTAACTCTTTCTAGGGTGGATATTTTCTTTCTGTACAGTTTCGATCTTGAGGGCATTCAGCTCTTGATCCAAAACCTGGCAAAGATCCATCACCACACTCTTGTGTATCTTCTGCCACAAGTGGTCACGGAATATCTGAATCAGAGATATCTTTAGATTTAATATCTTTCGATGCATGTAAATCCCGGTGAGATCCAGCTGTACTTGGAAATACATGTACATTTGCTCTGTTGATAGTAGGCAACCACCAAAGAGTAAACCTCCTGTTAGGAATTTGATCAAGTCCAGATCTCTGTGCGTTCGTCAATTGCTTGTACTTGATGGACTCCTCAAAACCTGAAGTCTTCTCCCAGAAAAGACCCTCCCATGTTGGGAAACTGAACCATAAAGAAATACTAAGACCAGCATAGTCACACAAGATAACTTTACTAGAACAATTTGGGACCATGAAAACAAAAACCCTGCAGATTCTCGTGTATGTAATGTTCGCTAGATAGATCATCACAAAAATAGAACGCAGTCGAGCCAAAAACCAAGCATTACAACTTACAAACTACACATTCGACCCCAATGTACAAAAATGTTTAACAAACTGCAGAGGCAGCTCAAAAATGAAAATGTTTAGAAAGTAATGATTTGTACTGAAAGAGTGGCACCAACAGATATGAACTTTATGATACTTATACTATATAAGCAATTTAAGACGCACACACACACATCGAAATGCAGGATGGGGATAAACAAAGAGCATAAAGAAATGCATGATCGTACTATGTTCCCTTGAACAGTGTGTGTTCAAGAATTTCTTCGACTCCTCCCAGAGCCTGAATAACGTCAGTTTGGTAATTGTTCAAGTTCCACAACTTTCCATCATGCCTCTGGTGTGTCCACCAGAATGGATTCTGTTTCAGCACCTGATACTGCTGAAACTCTGTTCTCACTCGCCATCCTTTGTCATATGCAAGGGTGTGGCGGTCTTTCTGAAAAAGGGTGTTGATTCGAGGAATCCCACGACCCCATGAATACTGAAAAGTAAAGAGTGTTTTAACATGTGAGTGTGTTTATAAGTAATAATCAATGTCAAATACAAATGGAAAACAACAAAGCAACTAACACCCTACTGAACCGAACCCTGACGGATGGCAAACAACAAGACCAATAGAAGGCTCGAACAAACTACCCAATTCATGATAATAATATCCACAAACTTAACCGTTAAAAGCCACCCAGCAAAAGAAACAAGGATGAAGATACAAATGACCAAAAGAATAAATGGAACAACTCACTTCCAGGTCCTCCAGGGTTAATCGCCGATTCTGGGCCTGTGCTTCCTGCCCCTTCAATGCATACTCAGCCCAAACACGCTGAGAATCAATGAACTCACTCTCCCATGACTGCCAGGGTCAAAGCAAATGCATCAGAGAACGATGATACAACCATAAACATAAATAAAAAAAAATGAATTACAGAGAAATTAAAGAGTTCACATACCTGAATGTACCGATACAGATTAGGAATCAATTGATCTTCCTCGTGACTCATTCCACTCCCAAAATGTGTTCTCCCAACATCAGTCTGCTTACTATACCGAAGGTCACTCTGGGGAATTGATATGTGGCCCATAGACAACATTCCAAGTCCTCCAAATTCTTTCGGTGTGTAGAAGATGACTGGGGGAAACCTGATATCAACAAGTTTGGTAAGTTTCTAGAAGTCCAAATAGAGCGCAAGAACTTACACAAGTCAAACGGATTCATTTTACCTGCTAGGCATTTTTTGAGTTCAACCCAATCTTAATACGAGTCTGGATCTTATTTTCACATTCTACCAGCAGATCCAGCAACTCTTGCGTGTGAACAGTTGCTTCACGGAAATAAGTCATGAGCCCTGTAGCAAAATCAAAGGTTTTCAGCATGGAACACCTGAGGTACGAGCTAGTTTCAAATACTAAACGCAATTAATATGTACCTATAAGCGCCGTATTCCACTTGGTGACAATCTTGGTGAATGTTTTCGAATCTGAGGACATGAGAATTCGGTTCACTCGATTCTCAAATATCTTAATGTGTTCATCATCTACCCTTAAGAAAGCAACAGCAGTGCGTTCTTTAGTCTGTTCATTCTGCAGATACCAAACTCCATCATTTGAGTTGCTAAAAGCCTCCAGGGTCATTCTTATCATGGGCAATATGCGCACTTCAAAACCACACCTGCAGTTCAAATAATAAAAAATGAAGAATGTACTAAGTTATACAGGAGGATCACTAAGTGGAGAGGAGACTGAAAATTATTCATATAACTAAAGGACTAAACATACATGCCGAACAACAAGTTCGGGTTATCTTTGCTGTATACAGACACGAAGCTGTTCTCCCATTCAAGGGTGGTAATACTCCGAGGAAGGCGGTTTTTCATGTCCCAAAAAACACTGCTTCCAAGATTCACTGAAACAAGAATACCAAGATCGATTAGCAACATGATAATATCAAGAAAACCACTTATATTTATTATCTGATCAAAGCACATGCAGTTACATAAATTGCATACCATCATGCTTCATGAGCCGCATTCTATCAGCTCTTGGCCAGCATTTCTTATTGTTATAACCAACCATATTTTCATTGTTCGGATCAGGGTGTTTTGTGAGATACCGTTGGATAATATCCCTAGCCTCCTCGTGAGTGAAGCGGAACAATATATGCACCTTATCAATGTATCTCGAGTATAATCGAATTGGATGCCGGGTTTCTACACTGGTGTCATGATAAGTAATAAACTCATTCGTCATTTGTGGTGGTCCAGCTATTTCACTGGCTCGAGTCAGACCAAGAAGCAAGAGATCTAAAACAAGCCCATAGTACTGCCCGACAAATGAAGCAAACTGCAGACCACGTATGACCCCATACGAGTTTGTATGACTCATATCCCTGTATGATAATACAACATTGTTCTTTGCAGTGACATAATCAGCAATATTATGGTCAAGAACCAGACGCAGAAGCCTGAAAAAAAAAATAAAAAAATAAAAAAAATAAAAAATAAAAATGAAACAGAATCAGTATAAAAGATACGTTCAGTTGCAAAACATGGGAAGGCAAGTCAATTAAAAGCATTACCTATTCAGCATGGTTAAATCAATCTTCTCAAAAAAATTCTCAAACTCTGTTTGCAACATGACAACACATTGTCCCTCACTGGTGTCCCATATCCCTTGTAAGTTGTTTATTCCCTGGCACCATTTGTAAACTAACAATGGTGATGGTTCTGAGTCAGCCGGCTTGATCCAATTCGGGAAAAGGTTGCGTTTATCACCCTCATACCACAGGTACTGATCCAAATACGCATCAATCATCTTCTCTAGAAGTTCAAACTCATTGACAGGAATCAGATAGCTATACAGATCCATGAACTCAATCCCAACCTGCAAATCCAACATTATTCGGATAAGAAACCTCACAAAGAATAAAAAAATAGAGACAAAAAAAAAAAGGTAAAAATAACTCATGCTGAAAAACTTTGAGCAAGTTATCGGGCTGCAGAGACATTTCAGGTGAATTATCTTACAACTTACTTCTTTAAAGGCACGCTGTGTTAGCAAATGACGTTTTATGCGGGACAAAGCCTCATGTGGATTATAATAGGCCTGCTCAATCAAACCCAATTCTTCTTTTTGTAGCTGGTTTAACCTAACAGCCACACTATAAGACTCCTTCAACCTTTCCAGAGAAAGAATAAGGAGCTTTGTATCATGCTTGTAAGACAATGGAGGAAATGGAATCGGAGAAAATCTTCTAGATTCCAGCCAATGCACAGTTGTCGTGTAAATGGCCACTGCTTCTTCTGGTGTGACATAGGGACCGTCTTTCAAGTAATTGTTCTGGCGTTCCTGCAACCAGAAGTGGGATTGACACATCAACAAAAGCACTCTATTGAAATATTTGGTGCTGATTTCCGATACCAGTAACAATAACAATAGAGCAAGGAGGATAGTGTACAAACCTGTTCAGCCTTCAACCAAAGACGGGTTAATCTTCCATGATTCTTTCGGCATACGGTCTTGTCTACTCTGGCTCCCCTTCTAATACGTTCACGATTATAGTGAGCAACATTAGTCCACCACTCCGCTTTTAATTTGACATAACAAAGTATCATGTTCTCAACTGGAACACGTAAACCAGGTACCTTTCATGACAAAAAAGAAAGAAGACATTAAAAGACACGACAATAAGAGAGTGAGTGCGTAGAAAGTAGTTTAAACAGCTGAAAGTACCTTCCAAGGAATATTGGCTTTCCAGCAACGCCATGCTTCACTCAGATGCTGCAAAATTGCTCTTCCTTTACTTTCCCTCATACGTTCTGCAAGAACAAAAATGAGCATACTCAACAGAATAAAGGAACACATGCAACATGCTTAATAAACAAAGGACATATGATAGGATGCTTGCTTGCCTGGCATTGCATCAAGAACATCTTGCATCACAGTATCACGAAACTCCAAATCGGAGTGGCGTTCAACTTGCTGCTTTGTCACAGTTTTAGCAACTCCTCTGGAATCTTGTCCTTCAAATTGCCTAGTCAGCAAATTCCCTAGCCACCTTTCAAGGAGAGGAATTATGCCACAGAGGAAAAACAACCATACTCTCCACATGGGTGCCCAAAAGTCACACTTATGACTCTTCTTGCAGGATCCAGTATGAAAACGAGAATTAATTAATATGCTTCAAGTCTTTGCACATTCGGATCTGCCGCAGTACTCGATACTTGTATCGGTACATACCCGTTAATTGACCAACATGTGAAAATATGTAGTACAACCCTTTAGCCAACTCATATGCATCGACCTTACCCAACCGGAACTGGATATTCGCATCAACTACAAGCTTTGTAAGATGCAGAATTTCACGACAAAGGTGGAAGGCATTACCCAATCGTGATTCTTTGTGTTCCTTAGTTGTAAGTGTCTTCAGGGGTTTCAAGTTAAAATTGTAGTCAAAATGGAGGTAATTCAGATTTTTCCTATGGATCAGCAGGTCCAGCAGATTGTATCCTTGCTTACAAACTTGTAGGTCTGCTTCAGCCCAATCAAGTTCAGTGGCCTGGAAAAACTTTGTGGCTTGGAGAGACCTTAAGAGGTGCCTCTTCTTCTGAGGCTTAGGCAGTCTATGATGCAGTTCATTCAACACAAAGGATTTCAATAATTTCTGGTAACTTACACGAACTTTGACAGGGTGTGACTTGACTGCCGAATAAACAAATAAGAACAAATAGAATTAAAAAAAAAAAAAAAAAAAAAA